CTGGAGTTGGTCCCTGGGCGCTGTACAGTGTCTCCCCACTGCTCCTAGTACTTAGGATGGGTTAAATGAAGACTGTGTGTGATCGTATGGTACAGCTGTACACTAACACCCTCGCTTCACCCTTCCAAGCACAAAGAAGAAACAACGGCATCTGCAAAACGTGCCAAAAACGCAAATGGCCTTATCTAGACCCAGTGTTTGGTTTGTCCCTTCTGGGCTGCTGTAGAAACATGGCAGCCTCCATGGAAAATGACCCGCTCCGTCTGTAGATAAAAATGTCTCATTCTAAAGTAACGAAAACACAACGATTCTTATTCTCAGCTGATTACACACTACAGAACACATACATATGGATATTATATTACGTTTCTGACAATAGATCCTCCTCAATGTGACACACTGGACCTTTAAAATACTAAAAACATCAAATAATGCAGAGAACTATACTGTTCTCCTTTTATTCATTACTTCTCTAATATGATTTTGCTATTCTAAATGTGGAGGTGGAACTCCTAATTTACACATATGGAGCAAAATACATCTTAACAAACTACCCCATCAAACACAATCAGTTGAATCAGTTTGTCTCTGAGTGTTAACAACAACAACAACAACTAAAAAGTCTAAATTGAGTTCAGGACTTCAGTGTATGTAGAATGTGATAGAGACAGAAAATGTTCCACTATCTGCTCTCACACTCAGCCCTTTTGGGGATTTGGTGTTTGGTGGAAATATAAAATATATATTTATATCTTTCCTTCCTTTTTTAAAGGAGGATAATTGCTGCTCAGGACCCACCACAACACCAAAAAGTCAAAAAATGTCCCAACATGCATCAGCAGCCTTTTGAAGAAGTCCAGATGGCCCCTCAGGCTCATAAATACCAGAGTCCACTGCAGAGGTTCAGCAACAGGAGGCCAACAACATTAGGATCTTACATAACTGACACACAAATACAAATGTTAGCTTTAATGATCTGTGTTGAGACTTGAGAACAGAGACTAAAGTCAGACTCAGGACTCGACACGTACTAAGACCTGGTTTTATGTCCTTTATGTTGCACATTTATGTAGTTGTTGGTTCAGTTATCGGTGATCATCCCATTTTTATTCTTGTTATATTGCATTATTTATTATGTGTATGTATACTGTATATACATTTAAATGT